TTATTTAACTAGGGCATCACTTACACATTGTATATATATGGAGGCTTATTGAATACACGTTGTTTAGCCTCTTTTGCACGTCTAATTGCATCATACCACTAGAGAGTTATTAGATAGACAGATAATTACTAGGAGAAAATAAAGAGAGAAATGAAATGACACAAGAAATTACATGAAGACTGCACATAAAATTGTCAATACGTATAGGCGGCTAATGTGAGGCCCTCCTAATGTTCTCCACGCTCTGGTTGACCAATCACGGAGGATATGCAGAGGCGGCTCTTGAAGTTGGAGAGCAATTACTTTTAATTAACATAGTTTTTTTTTTTTTTTTTCTCGTCTGATATCCGAGGTATCGCCCCGATTAATTTGGATTCGACCCGCGTCGTGCACCTAAAAATGATGGGTGAGTCTCCCAACGATAACTGCTGCATACACAAAGTATCAAACTCGAAATCTTGTTTAAGATGGAACAAACCGCTTACCACTTAATCGAATCATTTGTTAATTTTTAATTAACATAGTTGACCGCCAATTTTTTTTTGCTTGGGGATCAGCAAGAAAAAGGGATATTAATAATATAAAAAATAAAAGATACTCCGCCATTACAACAAACTATTAATTTACACGTGGAAAGATATGAAAATCTAAATTATGCGAGTCCAAACATTAGTCTACTACAATTAACAATTTTTTTTTCTTTTTTTTGGCCGAGGCCTACTACAATTAACCGAGTCTATGATGAGGACCTCGATATCCGATCCAATTAGGCTGCCCTTGGAGAATTAAACCACAACTCTTGAGAAATATCAGCATAAAAATGAACTTTAATCCAATTATACGCATGAAACTTTACCGACTCTAATACCTTCCGCTGGCTGTCCACATTATCCTCGAAGACATTTCGGTTTCTCCATAACCTTAAAACAAAAAACCATAGCATTTTCCATATGTTCCTGAGTGAGACTATCAATTAGAGCATAGTTGATTGTCCGACACAAAGTGATTTACTGACAATTTCAAAGTAAGAAATATTCAAATACTAAAAACTTGAGTTTTATATTTAAATTTTTCTTTCTCAAAATTCTCTATTATCCAAAACAATAATAATAATAAATCAGAGCAGTTGACTGTCAATTGTTCGGTGTAAACCGACAATCTTTTTGAAACATTTTCTTTTTTTTTTTTTTTTTTTTTTTTTTACTCCATGGTAAGGCTGATGTAATTATGTAGAAGCTAGATGGGCCCTCCTCGTCTGCTTTCAGAGCATAGTTGACTGTCAATTGTTAGGTGTAAACCGACAATCTTTTTGAAACATTTTCTTTCTGCTTTTTTTTTTTTTAAATAAACTCCATGGTAACGCTGATGTAATTATGTAGAAGCTAGATGGGCCCTCCTCGTCTGCTTTCTTTCTTCACTCTTTCTTCTCAAATCTCTCTCTCCACGAAATGCAACCGAAGCTTCATTTTTTCTTTTTCTTGGTGAAAAAACCGAAGTTTCATTGCATTGACGGGAATTCATTTTCAGGGAAATTAATTAATGTCATTTAGTGAAGCTATTGTCTCCAAATAACGGTGAACATTGAACCTGGTTGTGTAAGTCAAGTGACTTTAATTACTTTTGTAACATTCATGTCTCCCTCTTTTAAGGTAACGGTTCGAGTTGGTTTCACGATAAAAAAATTCAAAAAAAAAGAAGTTAAATATTAAATTTGGTCTCTCAATTTTAAAAAATATATATTTTTGATCCCTCAACAAATTTTTACATTTTTTTGATCCCTCAACTATACGAAATGCACTCCGTTAGTCTTTCTGTTAATTTGGGCTGTTAATCCGCTTATGTGGCATTTTTTTATAATTTTTTTGATGATATGGCAAAAACAAATTAAAAATGTGTCCACCTAAAATTTTTTTTTATTATAACTCATGCCAATTCAGATTATTATTATTTATATTTTTAAAAAATAAAATAAAATAATTCTATTCCATC